ACTACAGAAATGCTGTCCTCTACAAAGACAGGAACTGTAGAACTATGGAAACCAAGCCCTGGTTTCAGTGTTCACTTCTGTCTGAATTTTCAGGTTCTGATCAATCAGTGGATCCATTTACCTGCATATTAGATTACTGCCTCCCTCACCATCTGTTCAGCATCTGGAGCCCCACATCCAACCTCACCTAGGAATTGGGTGTTTTTAGATCTGAAAGGTGTCATGGGTTCAGCAGATCATCATCCTCTCAAAATAAATCTAGATGTAACATTATCTTAGCACTTTGAAAGGAGCGAGGTTAGCAGTTTCAGGTTCACACTTAGCTCAGACAAACATCTCTGCACTAGATGCACAGAGATAAAACTGATATCCAACTGAAAGGAAAGAATTTATCTTTCCATTCACCCAGAAACCATATTCAGTTGTAACAGAAGTCTTCTTACTAACTGTTCAGTGGCAGGTTCAGTTTGGTTTCTTATGTAGGAGGGAGCCCTCCTCCACCTGATGAATCACATCTTCCTGTTTCTCAGCAGATTTAATCAAAGTTACAGTGGCACTAAATCACATTTTAAGGTCAGCATGCGATGGTTAATAAAAACTGTGTTCACTCTAATGCTTATACAACACTGTGCTGTTCACAGACAGAACTGATTTTAAAAGTCAGTAATAATCATAATAACATCTAATTATTGCCAGCTGGAATTAAAAAAACCTGAAGCTGGTAGGAAGCCTTTGTCACAGCTGCTCTTCTGTCAGTAATTATAATGGATAACACTCATAGGCTGAGAGGAACGTCTGCCTGGCAAGACCAGCTCAGGAAATAAAACACAGGTGTTGATAAGGATGTTTGTTGGCATTAAATAATATTTATAATGTTGTGGGAGCTGTTTGACTCAATCCAGAGACATAATTAACAAATGTAATAAAGAGCAGAGTCATAAACATACTGATAAAAGCTACTAATTATTAACTGATGATTCTCCTACCACCATGGAAAGAACAATAACAAACACTTATTTACAGTATAATATCATGTTTGAAAAATTCTAATCAGGCTTCAGTCAGTCACATAATTTTTTAGTTATCCTCTCCTGCATCGATTACTTGTGGAGTACCTCAAGGTACAATTCAAGAGCCAATTTTTTTTCAGTCACTGTATACGCTGCCCTTTTGCTCCATGTTCTGTAAACAAACGGTATATTTCCACTGCTATGTTGATGACACCCAAATATACCTCCAACTAAATTCAGATAAACCCTCCATTGCACCTCTCTGGGCCTGTCTTCAGCAGGTGGAGTGCTGCTACAACTATCCACAGCTGAACCACTGTAGCACTGAGGTGATTGTGTTTGGTCACAAAACAGCAGCCATCACCAGCCATCAAGGACCATTAACAGTAATTCTTCAAGCCCATGTCAGGAATCTTGGTGTCATCTTTGACCCCACTTTGACATTTGACAGACACATTAGTTTTGTAGTTTGAGGATGCTACTTTCAGCTGAGTCCATTCTCAGCCTTAAAGACATGAAGACGGTAATGACTGTACTAATTTCCTCAAGGCAAGATCATTATAAATGATAGTATCTGAGTATTGGTCAGTCCTTACTGTCTTGTCTGCAGCTGCTGCAAGACTTTCAACTGTTACCAAAAGAAAAGGAAAGCATTACACCTGTACTTTCATCCCGACACTGGTTAGAGTTGAACAGACTCAATTTTAAGATTCTTTTATTTGTCTATAAAGCCATGCAAGGGTTGGCACCTGGGTATATATCTAGTCTGTCTCACCTCCACCTCAAGTCCCCTTAGATCCTTAGAACAGCTGCTGTTAACTGTTCCATGATGAAGGACGGTGGATGAGGGGAGAGCGAGACATTACATTGTCAGCTCCAAAGCTTTGGAACAACCTTCGTCTTTTAATAAATGTTCCTCCTCTAGTGATATTTTCAAGAAAACCTCAAGATGCACATGTTGTCAATGACTTTTGGCTGCTTTAAACCCTGTTGTATAAACAAATGTAATTTGATATGTATGGAAACGTACACACACACACACACACACACACACATATATATTACTATATGGTGTATGTATATACTTAAGTGGTTTCTGTATTGTTTAATCAGTAATCTGTGTTCAGTTGCAGGTGTAACTATAGTGTGGGAGTTGCTATAGTTGGTTAGCTTGCATTAGTTGCAGGTGTTACTGTATTGTTGCAGTAGCAGGTGTTGCTCTGGTTGCTATGTTCAGTTGCAGGTGTTGCTGGAGCATCATTGTTGCACATGGCAGCAGCGTGCAGCGGTTGCAGGTCTCTTATGTAACAGCAGCTTCCATCCTGCTGCTGAACAGATTAAAACCAGAGAGGATTAACACACACACACACACACACACACACTCACACACACGCTGACCACAGCTGACCTACATTTCCCACGCAGAGAAACATACGCCTGTTTATATATGCGTGTTGTGCTTATGTGTGTATTTGTGTGTGTGTGTTTACATGTGTTAATATTTGTGTGTATTAGGATTACAGTACAGTTGTATTTGTTGTATCAGATGTGAGTGTGGCGTTAATCTGCAGTGGAGAGAAACATCCTGCAGCCCCTGAACACATCAACATCTTCATATAGCAGTTTCTCAACATCTGAGTCGAGAGCTGTTTTATACGTCTGTGATTAGAAATATGTGGAATAGAAAAGTGTTTAGTTCACTGACTTTAATAAAAGTGGGATAGTCAAACATCAGTTTGTAAACAGTCTGTAATAACAGCAGAATATTCTGAAGTGATGTCATGATTTTGCACTATTATAATTCACTGACACCAATTACCCCCATCCCAACACCTGCACATCAGCCTTTCTTTACATCTCTAGTTTGTTGTATTGTGACAATTTTGTGATGAAGATGATGAGGGCTTTTTCCACTCATGTTGTTTCCTGTGTTTCAGTATTTACATGAGAACGGTGTTGTGCATCGTGACCTCAAACCGGAGAACCTGCTGTACGCCGACCTGTCTCTGGACGCTCCGCTGAAGATAGGTAACAAAACTGCTTAAACATCAAATATGATAGAAAGTTTATTGATTATTAGGCTACAAACGGATAAAAATAAAACTATTTATTCCCCGATTTCATGGAGTGGCCTAAACTTTTGAAACCTGAACACATCAACATCTTTTCACAGCAGTTTCTCCGCATCTCAGGAATATAAATCAGTATAGAAACACAATTGCGTTTTCTTCCAGTGGCCATCAGTCCTCTGTTGGTTCATTATTTGGTCCGTTTTTGGAGAAGCCTCTCTGCAGCCAGATGGCCGGTGAGCCCCTGGCTAACACTTACAGATGGAAGGAGCCCACATTCAGCCTCCGCTCTCTTTGAGCGAGACTTCTCTCCGCCAACACCTTCCTTTAGTTCAGAGACTCTCCTGCAGAGAAACACATTCTCTTCCACCTCCACTCCTCGCTGCTTCACCCCCTCGTTTCTATTTACGTAGAAACAGCAGAAACACGCACCAATTTTTAATGAAATATTTCATCTCAATTCACTTCTAATGAGGAAGTGTGCTCCTCTCTTACAGCTGACTTTGGTCTCTCCAAAATCATCGATGACCAGGTGACCATGAAGACTGTATGTGGTACTCCAGGGTACTGTGGTAGGTACACAGACGTGATGCGCAAAAAACTATACTGTGCAGAAGCTGAACCAACAATAATGCACGATTTAGTAGCAGGATTAGGTGTTGTAATGGGAATAATAAATGTAGTAAGTGTATTTAAGTAAATAGTAGCAACATTAGTGGAAGTTTTACATATTTTAGTAGTTGTAGTAAAAAGTGTAGGACCAGTAATAGATGTAGTAGGAGTATCCCACAGGGTACTTCTGCAGTAGCCAGAGGAGATTAAAAAATGATTGCCTTAATTCAAAAATAAAGTTACAATTTAATGAAAGAATTGAATGAATTTGAGCAGATCTGAGCATAAAATATATAGCTAACAGCTGAAATTGTTGGCTAACACTAAAATAAGTAAATTGCTATCTAAATCT